AGCAGCTCCTGGGAAGAAAGAGTGGGCTTTCTACTCCAGAAACAGTGACGGTCTTGGAAAGCCACAGGAGGCCCGTCCCTAGGAGTCCACATCGACTGGAGGGCAGGGAGTGAAATGCTATTTCCCCTTTCCCCCTCTCTGTTTAAGCCATAGACCCAATATGGTCTGAAAGCATGGGAATCACAGGAGACCTAGCCTTGGGGCCAGCACCCCCTCCTGGGGACCTGGGTTCATAACCAGCTCATGCTCTCCACGTCTCCTCTGTGTAGAGACCACATCCACTAGGGTCTTCGCTGGTAGCACTTCTCCTTCCTGAGACAGCCCCTGCGAGAGGACGAGCAGATTCGGCCTGCGGACTTCTCACGAACAGAGGAAATGGGGGGCCATGAGCCACTTCTCAATGGGAGCTTGAAGAACCATTGTGGATGCTCCCCCCGCCCCCATCTTCTTTCTGTGCATGAATAGCAATGACCCAGACAGACATGGCATGGAGCGGTGCCCTATCCACAGCGAGCAAGAAATCAGGGCAGCTGAATTGACACCACCTCAGAGCACCCTCGGGGGTCTCAGTGGCTGGTGTGAACTGGATCCCCAGGCCCTTTTTCCTGCGGCCCCATTGGATCAGCAAGAGGGTCAACCATTTGGAATTGACTCAACGGCGGTGGGATTGATTCGGGGCATGCTGGACCGCTGATCGCAAACTCACGGTGCAGACCCACCAGCTGCGCCCGAGACGCAGATGAGACAATGTGCTCCTGTCAGGATTTCTAGCCTCAGGAATGAGCTGGAAGTGGATTTTAAAAAATATACCAAAGGTTTAAAATGTAATCAATTTTGCGATTTCAGCCTCCTAGTTCTGAAAGATTGGTTTTACAGTCTTTGTTTTTCAAAGGAAAACATTTTAATATTGAAAAATTGATGACACTTTGATAGGTCTGGAAATAGAATGCTAAAAACAGCCTGCAGTCATTTTGATTTAAGATACAAGTCAGAGAGATGAGAACTAACACGTTTTTAAGAATAATGCACAGTGGAATGAAATAGTGTGTAGGTATTGTTTGTGCTAGCTCTCAAGTACTAATATCTCTCCTTTCACCGGGGGGCCAGGAAATGAAGAATGAGGGCTGGTCGAAGAAAAGCAGTCATGAATGTGGGTCCGCTGTATAATTCTCTCTCACCCACACCTACATACATACATGTAAGATTTTCCATAAGAAACCAGAGACAAAACCCCTTAGTAGGTTGAACATATTTTAGGTACAGCAAAGGACACTCAGACGAGAGGAAACCGAGAAGAAACAATACAATCTTATACTCATGGTGGTGTCGTGGGTTATGCCTTGGGCTGCTAACCACAAAGTGAGCAGTTCAAAACCACCAACCGCTCCTCTGACAAAAGATGGGGCTGCCTACAGTTAGTCTCAGAAATTTACAAAGGCAGTTCCACCCTGTCCTACAGGGTCACTATGGGTTGGCATCAACTCCATGGCAGCGAGGGTTGGGTTTTGTACTCAAGGGCAACGAGCTTCTTTATAAGCCCTGACATTTCCAATGATCTGCACAGTTAATCAACTCGAGGTAAGATGGGCGAGACGTCAATGGGAGGGGAAAGGAGCAGGAGTCGACACCAGAACCAGGCCTGTCCCAGGAGAGGCTTCCAAATATAAGTCATACAGCTAATATCTATTAGAGCAGTGGTTCTCAACCTGTGGGTCAGGACCCCTTTGGGGGTTGATCAACCCTTTCACCGGGATCACCTAAGACCATGGGAAAACACATATTTCTAATGGTCTTAGGAGCCGAGATAGCACTCCTCTATCATCTCCAGGCGGGTCCGTCCACATGCAGATCCACCACATACAAGTACCTGGCATGAAGACTGTTACCCATGCTACACCATGCTCCAAGACAACATTTTATTTATTTGTCATTAGAAATAAATATTTCACAATATATAATTACATATTGTTTTTGTGATTCATCACTATGCTTTCATGATGTTCAATTTGTAACAATGAAAATACATCCTGTATATCAGATATTTACATGACGATTCAAACAGTAGCAAAATGACAGTTATGAAGCAGCAACGAAAATAATGCTATGGTTGGAGGGGTCACCACAGCATGAAGAACTGTATTAAAGGGTCGCAGCATTAGGAAGGTTGAGAACCACTGTATTAGAGGCAAGACTCGAACACAGAACTGTATGGGTCATGTGTGTGATCACCTTGCAATGTATATTTCCAGAAGAAAAGTACAATACTGATAAACATAATAAATAATGTTGAAAATATATCTTAATGCTACTTAAATAACACATTCCCTGGGTAAACTCTGTTTTATTTTTCTAATATGTTATTTTACCCTCAAAAGATTGAAATTCTGTAATAATATACTACAGGAAAATAAAACGAAAAACAAACCACGCGTTTGAGAAGATGGTTGGCAGGTTCTGTGTATACTGCTTGTTACCAGTGTTTCCTAGGCTAGACTGGAGAGCTACAGAAAGATACGAGCTTCAAAAATAAGCTAGTCATGCTACAGGCAAAAGGATTTGCGTAAGAGATATGAGTCTTGCTGAGAGTGGGACGGAGGTAACTCACAGGAATGGTCTCTATCATCTTCAGCAATGTTCCCTATCTGAATCATCTTGCTACTCAGAGTTGGACAACCCTGCAGTAGTAAAACACCCATTAGCGGTTTCTCCATCATATTTAACACAGTGTCTGCTATGTCTCCATTTTCAGGATAACAGAAATCATAAAAACAAACTGAAAAATAACTAAGCCAAACATCGACCAAATCATGTGGGGTGTTTTACACTATTCTCCAAAACAAAAGAGAACTCACCGCCATTGACTGTATTCCTACACTGGACCGAACAGAGCAGCTCCTGTGGGTTTCTGAGATGATAGCTATGTGAGTAGAAAGCATCAATTTTTCCTTCAGAGACAACTGGTGCTTTCGAACTGCTGACCTTCCAGTTAATAACCCAGCACATAACCCACTCTGCCACCAGGGCTCCCTCTCCGAGTAGCCAGTATTTAGGCAAAGCATAAGCAAGTATGAATTATTGCTGTAATAGAAATAAGAGTTTCTAGCGTTGGGCTTTAGCTAAGGTAAATATGAAAACAAAACCCAAAACACCTCTGGATAAAATTTGCCGTTTAGATTTCCAAATATTTACTTGCGGAGTTAATTTTTCTGACTCGTGTTTTAGTTTGTCTGTGGCCACAGCTAAGGAGCCCAGGTGGCACTTGGGGCTAAGCACGGGACTGCTGACCATCGGGTTAGCGGATCGTCCCCGGCAGCATCTCCTCCGCAGGAAGAGGAACTATCTGCTCCCATAAAAACAAACAGCCCTGGAATCCCTAACGAGGGTCACGCTGAGTCAGCATGACCCACTCACTGGCAGTGGGTTTTGGTTTCCTGCTGTTTGGGGTATTGCCAGCACACGTCCATCAGAACTCTGGAGTGAGCTTGCTCACTTCCGGGGTAACTTACAAAGCGAGGAGACACTGGAGGTCCCCCGAAGGAAGTGATGCAGCCCATCGTCACTGTCACTGGAGCTGGCCATACTGTTCCTCATTTCCAGCATGGAAATCTGTGTGCAAAGGCTGGGCTTGGCTTTCTGCGAGGCAAAGTTTTAAGACACCTGAGGTTTGAGGTCATCCATTAAGCAGTGTTACACAGGTTTGAGGTTCAGCTATTAAGCAGTATTTGCTTTTCCTTCAAACAAATTTGTGCACATCACAGACTACTTGCTGCACAGCAAGTGTTCAATAACTATTGGCTATCTTTTTTATGCCTAGCTAGTCCACTAATCACATTACAGAAAATCGGTATGGATATCTTATGAAATATATAGCTATTTATTACTCTGAAAAATAATGAGCTACAGCTTCATCTGGGACACCACCTAGACCTGCTGACTTTCAGAAGTACCCACGCATGCTCACTGTCCTGGGGATCCTTAGTAAGCCAACAGCACTGCCCATAGGGATCGTGATTTCCGATCTCTGTTCTGTGACCTTTGTCATTTCTTTCTAAGCAAACGTGAATACACTGAGGCTCTATTCAGCTCTTAAAACCTGTGAACAGTCACAGGCTTCCACTCCACACTTCTCAGTCAGCTCTGGGCTTCCCAGGAGGGGCGTGCTCAGGCAGAGGAGGAAGACCGGAAGGCACCGCGTGAAATGGAGTTGGTCTGTGTTTCTTTGCCCACCATCTTTCCACTGCCCTGTCTTCCCTGACCAAATCCACACCCACGTCCTCCCACTCAAGGATGGTCTGTCCTCACCACAATGGAGGTCCCAGCTTTGACCAAGACTTTCTAAATAATGTGGAGCCCTGATGGCGTGGTGGTTACACATTGGGCTGCTAACTGCAAGGTCAGCAGTTCAAAACTACCAGCCGCTCCTCTGGAGAAAGGTGGGGCTTTCTACTCCTATAAAGAGCCTTGGAAACTCCCAGGAGCAGTTCTCCTCTGGCCAGTAGGGTCGCTATGAGTCGACAACAATTTGACCGCAGTGGGCTTGTTTGTTTTACTAATGGCACACACAAGAATTACTTCTCAATGGAGCTCTAGAATTACAAGAACCCCGGCCATACTAAAAGTTTGACTAGTGGAAGAAACTAGAGGAAAACAGCTCGTACATTGCAATCAATCTCACTATAAGCATATATATTTGTTTAACAAAATAGACTCAGAAAACCACATACCTTATCATTTGATGTAGGATCATTCAATGAGTATAGCTTGTTTGTAATGTCTTTTCCAATAAGGTATCTAAATATTTCATACAGAAAAGGTTCGGATTCCAGAAAGTAAGTTAATCTTTCTCTTGACCAGCATAGAAATCTGCAGTTGTCATCTGCAATAATAGTAACCTGTTGGGGAAACAAACATACAAAGAAAAAACGTCAGTCTCTGTGCTTGTCTGAACTGAACTAAAGTGATTGGCTGGGTTCACGGTGGTCTCAAGGCGCTGGATCGGTCCCTTTGGATTCCAAATTCTCCAGCATCGCAAACAAGAAGGCCGAGCTGCCATTACCCAGAATGTACCCGAGGGAACTGCTGAGTGTGTTTGAATCCGAAATAGCAGCCTGCCGGTATGACGGGTTGACTGTCTTCAGGGGAGGAGGTATTGTTATTTTTTAAAGTACATTTGACAACGTTTCACACACCAGGAACACGATAATGCCCTAGCAGCAGTCCACTCAACTGATAACAGACTGAGCTTCCATCAGCACGAATACACACCAGTGTTCAAACTGGCAGCACAAATCCCGTCACACTCAACCCAAACATTTACTTAATGCTAAGATAATGTTTCATTTAAATATCAGTTAAGATTTAGTGCTTGCTCCGCCCCCCCCACCCCCACCCCCGCCTGCCCAGCTTGGATATAAGCCTCCAGGACATGCAGGACAGTCCTCTTCCCCAAAGTGAACAGAAGAAGACATGTGGGAAGGCAACAGGGGATGAAAAAGAACAAAAACAAAATTTTTAAAGAATATAAGTAATATGGTTAATTTGATATAAAACAACTGCACAAGGAAGAAACAAAAAAAAAACCCTTAATATTTCCACCTTTTGTGATATAATAATGATATTCACTATTCTGTCAACAGTTATGAGTAGCCATTCTGGTCCGTACACATCAAAAGGACTTAGAAACACGAAGGGGGAGATGAACACTAAGTTCATCATCCTTTTTGTCCACTGTTTTTTCCAGTGACTGCTGCCACGGTATTCTAGAATACTTCCCTGAGCCCCCAGCACTGTGCCGTCTTCTAGGGCGGGCACTGAAGTGGATTGCCTTGGCCTTCCCCTTTATCACCCCACTGAATAATTCAGTAGCATCCTTACGAATAACGGAAATGAAGATGAAGCAGTTCCTCATCAGACCACATGGGAGATGTTCCCAGTTAGGGGAAAAATAAGATTCAGTGGGTAGGGAGCATGGGGGTGGAGAAGCCTGACCATCAGAACTGTAGGTCTCCCTTCCCCTAGGCACAGGGGACAAGAAGTTGGCCCTGGAAGCATGGGACATTTGTCATTCGGGCATCTGATTCAGTAAAAGGCAATATACTCCTCCGCAGATGTGCAACTGCTATTTACGCTCTTGGGTCTCTGCCAACAGGAACGTTTTGTTAGCAATCAAAACACAGTCTCTCCCCAGGGCTTACGCTGATGGGGTTGGCTTCAGCTGTACAGGATGCAGATTCCACATCGTTAAAGTAGGTTTTCTCCACTGATCTATCAGGAAGTGGGATCCCAGACCTTTTCCAGAGAAAAGCTGACTGGCCTCTGGGGAAGGCTGAGTGAATGTCCTTCACCTTGTTATGGTTATTTGATTTTACTCATGTTGTTTCATGTTCAAAGCAATTGTCAGGAACCTATTTTAACTACCAAAGCTCAATGTGGAAAACAAAGTAACTGTATCTCATGACAGGAATTCCTTTGTTGTTGTTGCTAACGTAATTGTGAAAATATAAATGAACGTACATTGGAAAAGGCATTACAGGTTAGGATCTGTGATCCCTCAGAGACCACCTGCTTCTGGAAACAAGAGAGGTCTGGTTCCGATCCCTCCCCAAATTTCATGCTCTCCAGGATTAAAAGTATTGCATATAACAAACCAAAAAGCCAAACTCACTGTCACCGAGTCAATGCCAACTGATAGCAACCCTATAGGACAGGGTAGACCTGCCCCTGTGAGTTTCCAAGACTGGAACTCTTTATGGGAGTAGAAAGTCGCATCTTTTTCCAGCAGAGAGACTGATGGTTTTGAACTGCTGGCCTTAAGAACTGCAACCCAATGAATAACCACTATACCACCAGGGCTGCACCTGCTACTATAGACAAAAGAAATGAATGCAACAGATAAATGTAGCACCTTGGAGAAAGCAATTGTGGGAGGTCAGAGGAAAGAAGTGGTCCTGTGCCCGGTTATAGAACCTAAGTCTCAATATACAGCTGACCCCACAATACACCAGGTCAGAGAGTAACTGAAAAGAGAAAGGAGCCAGGAGCCAGCATCCTCTCTGCTTCTGGATCTTCCTTAAGCTCAGCCAGCTTCGGAACAGTGGTGTGCCCATCAGAGAATTTCCAAGGACACAAGTCGAACAACTGATGAGGTTCTCATGCAGTCCTCAGGCAGGGTGGGAGCAGGCAGGGCGAAACTATTAAAAATGAAGAAAATGACTCCGTATTTCTGTGAATTTCCCCTTTATTTCCACCCGAACATCAGATTTTTGCCAACACAGTGTCCTGGCATTTTTCCTCTCCGTGGTGGAAGCATTCGCTCCCGTTCTAGTGCCTGCCGGACTAAACGTACTCTCTTGCTCAAAGCACCCTTTCTCAGGATATTCCCTTCCTGTTCTTTCTGCAGAACCTGAGCCTAAAGGAAGCTCACTGGCTTTCTTGGTTAGTCTTCTATCAATAATGAAACGAGTAGAAGAGGGGGGTCAAGGGCTTGCAAAAATAATGTGGCCAAAGTGCCCTGCCAGGGGCAATTTTATTTTAAGGCACACCCAGAGCACACCGAGTTGTCCCCATCACAGCGCTTTCTTTACCCAGAGATGAAGTCACGCAAAACAAGAGTGAAATCTCAGAGCCAAACGCAGGACCACCAAGTTGATTCTGACCCTTAGCGACCCCTAAATAAGGTTTCCGAGGTTCAACCTTTACGGGAGCACACAGGCTCACTGTGCTTTGCGGAGTGTCTGGTGGGTTTGAGCCACCAAGCAGCACCCCCCTTACAGTCAGCGGCCCATCACCGAGGCCACGGTGCTACCAGGGCTTCTCAAAGGGACTGGCTCTTCTGTTTTAAAAAAAATCATTGTATTGGGAACATGGGATTGGCTCTTCCACAAAGATTAATAAAATATACATTCTAGGATTTTCTCCAACTAAAAATAACCAATGGTAAGTGCTTTAGAAACACGTATTCCCTATCATCAACTTTACATTAAGAAAAAATACTGCTCATTAACCCCCCCCACACACACACACCAAACAAAAGAAAACCATAAAAATCCCTGAAAGCCACTGCCACCGGCTCAATTCCAACTCAGAGTGATCCTGCACAGGGTTCACAGACTGTCTTCCTGGGAGCGGTCATGTTTCTCCCTTTGAACCGACATTCTTGTTGCGAGTGGTCCAAAGTCTAGGCCACAGTGCCACTAATGTCCTTCATAGCATTAATAATAAGACCAAATTAGAATATATCTTTCTAAACCTTTCTTAAACACAATTTTATTTTAAAAAACAGAATTATATAGTAGATATTTCACAGTCAGTTCTTTTTTTTTTTTCACTAGATCATGGCTATTTTTTATGAATATTTTTTGGATTTTCAATGAGGCATGAATTCATTTAAATCTTAACTATCAGACCAAATTTCCATACCTGGAATTTTTCATCTTTGTGCATCTGAGTTGACCGAAATTCAGGTGAATCTATAAAGGCACAGGGGTAAATGTTATGCAGAAAATGTCCTCGATAGGAGACCTTCATTCTGATAATAGAAATGAATGTGAAGAATGAACACAAAGTATCTCACAAGCAGCATGATGACCCTTAAATTCCCCCCTCAGCAGTCAGCGTTGTGTATTAACATTTTAAAGATCTCAAAGGTGACCACCGACATAATTAGAAACACTTGTCAAGAGAAAATATTTCTTTCAAAAATAATGGACAAAAAGAAAAGACAGCACCTGGTCTTGGACCACAATGTCCCTTCCCACCCACCGGCCTGCCCCCACCATCGCCTCTCTCTCAGAGCTGGACACAGTCGCTATAGCTTATTCTTCAAGCTGGGACATTTTCAGAGGGAAAACAGCGGTGTATGCATTTATGCTAGAACCACAGACATAGACTGGGGCGCTCCCAAGTCTACTGATATTCCTACCCCTCCCCCACCAAAAAATCACCTTCAAAATGCTTAGATTCTTGAATTTTAATACCAACTAGAAGCCTACTTTCATTTTGAATCATTAACATTTAAAATGGCTCATAATTGAAAATCTTTATGTCAACAAGGTTCAAATACATAAATTCTCACATGCCTCTCAAGTTATTTACTCTCCCTCCCCCTTGCAGCAACAACATTATTCAGCATCCTCCTGGTAATTAAAAACTTTTGTTCAAAACCCATAATCCAGGATAAAGTGTACGTATCTGCCTTTGCAGTTCCCTTGGCTTGTTCCAGGTGCCCAAGGGGCTATATCACCCACTTTGGGAAGAGTGTTCTATAGTACGAGGGAGTACCCCCCCAAATGGAAAAAATTCCTGATGGGTGGAGCTTTCATAGTATGTATTATTCCCCTTACACGAGCATCTAGCAACTTGTTCTGAGTTAGTGCACCCAGTGGCATAGCCTGGGAAGGTTCTCTCTGGTCACAGTGAACTTTTTTCATGAAAGCAGTTTTGCGTAAAACTCATTTTTTGGGGGTGATGGCCGATTTAAGAGAACAGTGTGTGGCTGTGAAATTTTGTTTTCTGTTCGGGACAAAGGCTGCAGAAACTGTTGTGATGTTGAACACAGCTTACAAGAACAGCGCTATGGGAAAAACTCAAGTGTACAAGTGGTTTTTCTTGTTTCAGAAAAGGTGAAATGTCAATTGATGACAAACCTCATTTTAGATGTCCATCTACTTCCCAAATGGATGACAATGTTGACAGAATTTGTGCACTTGTGCTCAAAGATCCATGACAGACCACTGAAGAGATGGGAAAGCTATCTGGACTATCTTGGAGCTTGGTTCAGCAAATTTTAAGGGAAATTTTGGAATGAGAAGGGTTGCTGTGAAATTTGTGCCTCGGGTTCTGACTGACTAGGAAAAAGAGCGTTGAGTGGAAAGATGCCATGCTTTGAAAGAACAGCTCCAAAGAGACCCAGACTTTTTCCCCAAGATAATTTCTGGTGACGAGACATGGTGCTATTCTAACGACTGGGAAAGCAAACATCAACCAAGCCAGGGGAAGACACCATCGCCACCTCGCCCAAAAAAGGCTCTTCAAGTGAAATCAAAGATCAAGATGATGCTCTTTTTTTTTTTTTTTATGTGAGGTGGATAGTGCACTTGGAGTTCATTCCACTAGGTCAGACTGTTAATCAAGCTTTCTATTTTGAGGTTCTTAAAAGGTTGTGTAACAGTGTGTGATGAAAAAAAGACCTGAAAAAAAAAGCCTGATTTGTGGCAGATGGGGACTGATTTTGCCATCATGCAATGTACCTGTTCACACAGCCATCTCAGTGTACCCGTTTTTGATAAAAAAACCCAGCATGCCTCTCTTGCTCCATGCACCTTACTCACCTGATCTCACTCCACGGGACTTCTTTTTGTTTCCGTGAAGGAAGAGGGGCATGAAAGGACAGCGATTTGATGATGTAGAAGAGGTGAAGACAAAAACGAGGGAGGGTGCTGTCAGCCATCCAAACAGGCTAGTTTGAAAAATGTTTCCGAGAACGGAATCGCAGATTTGACAAATGTATTAAGTGTAATGGAGAGAACTTTGAAGGTGATAAGGTTGTTTTGTTCCAGGACCAGTGGTGAGTGTGGTGATGCCTGGAGGGTGGAGGGAATGTGGGGTAGAAAGGGGGAACCGATTACAAGAATCTACGTATAGCCTCCTCCCTGGGGGATGGACAGCAGAGAAGAGGGCCAGGGGAGACGTCAGACAGTGTAACATGACAAAACATAATAATAATTTATGAATTATGGAGGGTTCATGAAGGAGGGGGAGGGGGGGAAGGGAGGGGGAAAATGAGCAGCCGATATTAAGGACTCAAGTAGAAGGCAAATGTTTTGAGAATGATGTTGGCAACAAATGTACATATGTGCTTGACACAATGGATGTATGTCTGGATTGTGATAAGAATTGCACGAGCCCCCAATAAAATGATTTTTAAAAATTTAAATACATAGCTTTGAAAAAAATTTTCATTTTTTTGTTGTGTACCCCTGTGTACAGAGCTCTAAAAAGTAGTTGTAAAATGAAATTTCACCACCAATAACACCTGTGACCACCTCCTTCGTTGGCAATATTCCCTCTCATTCATTTATACCCAAAGGCTATGATGAGATTAAAGGTAACCTGAGAATTTCAATTTTTCAAAGAGCACTTACTTGCCCTTCAGAAGTATACTCAGCCGGTCATCCACGGAGGTTTTGTCCTCTAAAGCATATGTCTGGCCCTTCGTCAAGGTTTGAATTATGCAAAACTGTCCAGTCAGTCTTCTGAACAAATCGGGAGACACGCGGAGGGGTTCAAAGAGTCGCCGGTACGCGCCATGGAGTTCCTTCTCAATCTTCACCTGAAACCCAGCAATGAGCACAGACTGCACGGCGTGCTACTCAGAAATGCTGACTCCCGCCGCCCCAACGGGGCTTTGGGAATCAACACATCTTTGACACATCCCATCACCCTTCTGTATTAGATCCATTGAGTCTTAGAGAGGAAGTGGTAATATACATTTCTATTCTAGATTCTAAAAGGGCATTTTTGCCGTTAAACTGAACTCTAAGAACATATGGGGAGAGCTGCGCTATTAATCCCACCTCTGCCTTTGGGTCAGAAAGCAACTGTTCCAGGTTGGGAATGTTGTCCTGACATTCACTTCCCAACCTCACCACCTTCTGCAAATAACACAAGACCTTTTCTTCCTTAGAATATTTTTGTATCATAAGAAGAAAAGGGATTAAATGTACTCTTAGGTATTATAGCACGGTGATAAGAACATAGAATAGCAAGCAATATGGAGACGAAAATTGAGGAGAATAATACGCACACTAAGCATTTCATCTCCATGTAATTACTTTATACAGCAATACAGGAAAACAAACATTCACATCTGCAACCATTACTTCTCATTTAGTTGTTCGCAAGCAAAGAAAGGGTAGGGAAAAGAAAGCAGCCAAAGACTTGGTGGGGAAGTTGACTCTTAAACCCAATGGACTAGGAAAATGGGAGCACCACTGCTGAGTCAGGCTGGCTTCTTGAGGCAGAGAAGAGCAGGCCTGCTTAGTCACCTCTGTGGTCACGTCCAGGTCACATCTGGAAGTCACACTAATTGGGAGGTCGGACTGTGAATGGGCTTGGGTCAAGACCAGAGGGTCATGTGCACCAGGGAGAGCTTCAGCAGATACACTATGAAGCTTATGCACTGCTCCGATGCCACTCGGACATTTGCGATGCTCTTGCTTATCCTGCGGTTCCATTTTACAGATGGTCCGGTGCTTTTATTTCCTTTTTTTTTTTTTAAAGTACATTCAAAGTTCAAGAAAAAACAACCACAGATACTAAGCTGAGTCACTCTCTTGGTGCTTACCCCCATCCCCCATCAGCAACATCAAAGGCTTTGTTTCAGAATTTCAGCAAATTCTGGTAGTCCAGGGCTATAAACCTGACTACCATTATGACCATCTACCTCGCCCACCTCAGGGGTCCAGTAATGGGCCTTTAAAACAACGTATTGACACATGTACCCCGCTTCTAGCCTGCACACTGGTTCACACGGTACAGCCATGAACACATGAACTGAAGGATTCATGGGCTCGCTTATCCCCTGGTGTTCCTGCAAATCTCAGCTCAAATATCAATGCCTTCACGAAGCCTGCTTTATTTTTCTCCTCTTCGAAAGCATCCGCTTGGCATATGCTTTTTGACCTCTCCTTTATCGAAGCACCTATTCATTACATGCTTTCCTGAGCACCTACTATGTGCCAGCTTTGGTTGCTAGGAAGCGGCGGAATACAACAATAGGAGGGGTATATACACAACTTCCCCTGATTATCTGCTGCCCATCTTCCCTGTGAGGATCAACCATCCCCCCACTGCTTCCTTTCCATTGTCAGATTCAGTTATCTCACTTCCTGGAGGGGATCGAATCGTGTCCCCTAAAAGCATATGTCCATGTCCTAGCCCTCCATTCTGCTGTCCTTATGAGAAGACGAGAGGCACCTAGAGACAGAAGGGAAGTCATCGGATTAGAGTTCTGCTGCCACACACCCAAGAGCACCTGGACCCAGCTGAAGGCAGATGGAACAAGCAAGGAAGAGCTCTCCCCTACAGGCTTCGGAGTGTGGTCCTGTCAATGCCTTGATTTTGGACTTTTGGCTTCCAGAAGTGTGAGAGAAGAAATCACTGTTGTTCTAAGCCAGGAGGGCGGAATGACTGTCCCTTGGGCTGTGTAAGGTCTGAAAAAATCAAGACCAGCACATGCTTCGCGAATGAAAAGCAGTTCCAGCCACCGCATTTCAAATCAAACTCTCTGCCATCGCATCGTTTCTGACGCATCGCGGCGCTCAAGAACAGGGTGGAACTGCCCGAGACTGTAACTCCTTACAGGAGTCGAAGGCCTCATCTTTCCGCATCGGGGTGGCTGGTGGTTTCAAACTGTTGACTTGAGGTCAGCAGCCCAATGCATAACCACTATGCCACCAAGGCTCCTAGCCATTTTGTTCCCCAAACTCACTGCCATTGAGTCGATTCTGACTCAGAGTGGTCCTATGATACAGAGTAGGACTGCCCTGTGAGTTCCCGAGAGGGTCACTCTTTCCGGAGTAGAAAGTCAAGTCTTTCTCCCGTGGGGAAGCTGGTGGGCTGCAACTGCTGACTTTGTGGTTCGCAGCCCAACTTGTGATCACCACATCACCAGGGCCCCCTAGTCAATGCTTCAAACTCCCAAATCAAGCTCACTGTCATCTAGTCAGTGGCGACTCACAATGACCTCCTGTGAGTTTCTGAGATTGCAATGGTTTACAGGAGTAGAAAGCCTAGTTTTTCTCCAGCAGAGCTTCTGGTGGTCTCAAACTGCTGAACATGTGGATCGCAGCCCAACATCTAACCACTACACTACCATGGCTCGCCCAGCCATCACATCAGGAGTGTGTCCATTAAATGCTACACCAATGTGGCCTGAGCACAATGTTCTAAATATCCAAATGGCCTTTGGCAGGAAAAGGGTTCTCCCAACTGGCCACCGTAACTTAAGGCATCGGGTGTGTGGTAATTTATTCTAGTAGCTCTTGGAAACAAATGCAAGGTATTTGGGTTTTTTTTTTTTAGTCAATCAAATGTGAGCACACTTGATGTATGCCACTCCTTGGTAGTTACATAATCTGTTGTCAATTTGAGAGGATTAAGGGTGAAGGGGTGGAGATTAGCCTATCAATCAGGTGGCAGCTTGATGACTTCATTTGGAGGCACTACGGAGTTAAATATCTCACTTGAGGTGGGAGACACACTGACTCCCTGGGAGACATTGCAGCTGACAAGACACCTGGAGCTACGCTAGTGCCCTGAACTGGAGGAGCCACATGGAGACCCCTGCCAGTGCTGAGATGCTTATACTGCCAGTGGATCCACAAGACTTCCCACCCACTGGGCCTGTGATCTTCCTGAATTCAGTGTCTTTGCATGTGTTTTGTGAGTCTGAAGAGGACTTCATAGATTGGTATCGGACATATGGGCTAATATCAGACTGATGGACTTCGCCAGGACTGGGATGTTTTCTTAATGTGCAATTACTCTTTATATAAAGCTCTTTCTTCTACACACAAGTGTCTCTATGAATCTGTTTCTCCAGTCTACCCAGATTAACACAGACCCTAAAATGATCAGATTACGTGTAACAGAATCCCGGCTGACATACAACTGTCAGAGTTGAATCCCAGCTGACATACATGTCAGAGTGGACATGTAAGATGAGGCGAAAAAAGCACTGTTGCTGTTCTGAGGCCTAAAGAGGAAATAAACCAGAGTTGGAAAGAACAAGCTAAATATTGGCTTTTTTTGTTTAGTTTTGATGGTAACAATCCATCCAAAGTGATTATTTTCTTAAATAATGATTTGGGGCAGAGGTGGGGAAAAGTCATTACATTAAAAAAAAAAAGATAATGAGTTATTTGCAAATCACTGGTGTGCTTATGGAAGTTACTGATTAGTAATTAATTTTATATTGAGACAAAAATATTCCCAAGCAATATTTCAGTACTAGCAGACAGAAAAATTAACACATGATATGACTTAAAAGAGAAGATATTGTTATTCTTGTTCTCTCCTGTTTATCTTGCTCTAATGATTATAAATTTAAAAAAACAACATGGTTGGAGAACGTATTTAAACATTTTCACTCTGGGGTAGATATGCAAGGTAAGTCCACTATTCATAGAAGTGATATTGAAAGGAGTAAGGATGTTGGGTGTTGATTCTCAAGTTGGAACAAAGTACTTTGATAAGAGATCTAGTTTTAAAGTCACTATCTTTTTGGTGAACTTTTAGTAATTACCGGTCTTTTCGTGTACAACAGGTAGGAAAGGTGCAAAACATTGACACCCAAGAACACCGAGTTCCAGATCATTACATCCAAGGCGCAACGGTAGAGAGTGGCCCAGACGATATAGAGGGTGCATCCTGTAGAACAACAAGGGTCCCACGTTAGGGGTCTGGAATACAACACCAGCATGCCACTGAATCAACGTGTTACCTGTGGTCTATAAATCATCGAGCACATTTAAAAAATACTTAAGCATTACGAAAACCAAATAAGCTGCTTTTACGTTTTTATCGGATGACAAAAGAAACACATGCTTAGTTGCAGAAAATTTGTCAAGTGTGGAAAAATGCTTTCTAAAAGGAGAGAACTCCAGAAGTCTACCATAAAAACAACCAGCGTCGTCATCTAGCATTTTCTTAGACTCTTTTTGCATTTTCATCTAGTGGCAAACCGACTGCATTTACAGCTTGAAAGCCTATTTTTGTATGTAATGCAGTGCTTTCCCCATTTACTAAAAGTCTTCAAAATCATAATTTTTAATGGCTACAAGTAGCTCAACTATAATTTCTCTAACCAATCCTATACTGTGGGGTAGATGAAATTTGGGGGCAATGTAAGTAATATACGTAACACCAAGCTCTTTGGACATAAACATTTATATATGGCTGATTGCTTACTTAGAGTAGATGCCCTGAAACCAAGATGAATCCATTTTACAGTTTTGAGGATACTAAAGAAACTCAAAAGTCTGAACAAATTTGCAATCCTAGTAGAGGATGTCAGCATCAAATTGTTTTTATTATAAAATTTGAAAACCCCTACTTGATAGTGAAAAGTGATATATTTTCCATTTCTAATGGGGAAGCTGAATATTTTACCAAAAATGTTTTAGTCAACTGAATTTTTCATTTGATGATTATCCATTTATCTCTGGGAAATTTTTAAAAAATTGATTCTTTTATTGAGGACAAAATAGCTGATGTTCTTTCAATCTAGTTTACGATGGGAAAGTTAATATACATTTTTTTATTTTAAATAAAATTTCAATGATATATCATTGATATCCATGCATACATAAATGCGAAGTTTCTAAGCAAATAATATATCATTATCTATTTGCAATTTTTAATTTAATCAGAATACTTTAGGGGTATCTGAATGATGACCCAAAATGTAAAAATTGGAATGTTCTTTAAATTATTCTCCACAACAAATATTTTAGGAAGTTCAAATATTATTAGTTAAAGGAGAACCTAACCCCACAGCCATCAAATTGATTCTAATTTATAACAACTCCAAATATGGTCTCTTTTTTTTACCATTCATTTGTGCAACAGTGGGCTATATAGTGGGCTAAGTTCATACCATCCGCAGGTACAAAAAATTAGATAGAAAGAACTATGCTTATAATATTTACTGATTATTTCATAAAACTCATTATACTTTTGATGAAATATGATATTCTTTTTTTTTCTAAATAATTTTATTGGGGGCTCGTACAACTCTATCCATGCATACATCCATTGTGTCAAGCACATTTGTAATTTGTTGCCATCATCATTCTCAAAGCATTTTCTTTCTACTTGAGCCCTTGGTATCAGCTCCTCATTTTTCCCCTCCTTCCCCCCCACCTGAAATATCATATTCTTATTCCCTTTTGTTTGTTACTTCAGTAAACAAACATGTAATGTAGAGGGAAAAGGTGCCAAGCAACCAGAGGGTGACATACTGTCATTCGTTTTGCTTTGTGTTACATCCAAATTCCAACAAGATATCATGAGTAAACTGTGCAATTCCTGAAAGTGTTCAAAGAGCTAAGAATTCTGCCAGAACAATTGCTGCAAGTTCAGCAGATGTGGAAAGAGATTTTCCAAAGATGAACATAGTATGCTTAGAAAAGAGAAGTCACCTTTATCTAACACATCAAACACAATGACCATTGTCTAAATGGCCTACTTCTAAAGGAATGGGATCTTACTCCTACAGTGAAGGGATGGCTAAGGACAAATCACACAGCTGATGATGCATTTTGCCAAGTGAAGGTGAAGAATATTGCCAAGTGAGGACAGCATCAAGAAGAAATATGTTTAAATAACAGTTTGATGGTTATTGTCACATATTTTTAAATATTTAACTCTTTCTTATAAGATAACCTAGTTTTTGTACCTCTTTTATTGTTCATATTTAAGTATAAGCCAAATGAAATAATAAACAACCTTTTGGTATATCTTTCTTTTTATACTTAAAATAGTTATTAGGGCAGTGAACCGATTGTTAAATTATTTCAATGCCATCACTGGTTAATAGTGTCCTATGAGTCAGAACTGACTCAATGATAGTGATTGAATTTTGTTTGGTTTGGTTCTTTTTTTCTCTAAGTAAATAAAGTTTGACTTGCACTACTGTATCTAAGGACTAGCTTTTACTTCCAAGTTTGCCTTATCGACCACAAAAAGTTAAGGAATACATAGGACTTAGTAAGTGCCAGGCACTATTTTAAGTCATGCATATGCATATCTATATACAAGACAGCTTCAAAAAACTCATGGAAGATGGAATATATATAAACATGTGACGGCCTATCTTCTAAATTACTCGATATACTGTTTAGCTGATGAGCCTTAGTGCTTTTTGCATGCTGTAAGTCAGGACTAAGAAAGAATACTCTGAGGGCCCCAGTACAAATCCCAGTTAATGCCAGTTTAAACAAGTTACATCAATCTGAATTAGGTAACTTACCTAGTGTCAACATCGCCCTAAGAAGTATCATATGAAAAGGAACAGTAGTGGGAATAACCAACCCAATTGCAAAACAAATATTTGCTACATGAAAAACAAGGTGGTGAATCTCTCTCCAGTTTTCACAGGTGGTTTCATTGGCGGGCACAGGGATGATACTTTGTAACACAGGTGTAAAACCCACTGCAGGTGATTCGGCCAATGGGCTGGACCCAGTGTAATTCATCGTGAAAACTTCCCGGGAAAGACCAGAAGGACACGCTTCCTGTAAACGATCAAAAGAATAATCTTAGAGATGGCAGCTGTGACATATCACCGGTGGATGTTAGACCAAAATTATTTGTTATTGTTGGGAAATTATGATATTCATGCCTCATTTGTCTCATAAGATGAAACACATAAAATCCTTCAAGTATACATCGACCGTATTCTCTGACATAGTAAGTAGACTATCTATGACATATAGCATGCGTGTGCGAGAAAGGGAGCGAGGGAGGAGGAGTGAGGAATGAAGCCGCTGGTGAAGACCTCAAGACTAGGCCTTCGTCACCCTGCACGCCTGGAACCAACTCGTGTGTGACTCCACGTGCAGCCCAAGCACAGGCAGGCCTAGAAACTGAACAAGAGCGTCAGAAGTGGCCGCACCCTTCAGAACACTCAAGCAGAGCAGAGGAAAAGAGCAGCATTTGCTCTGGGATCTTGGCTAGCAAGCAGGAGGGGGCACAGAGGAAGGAAACAGGAAGAGCGGGGATGCACTGTGAGGACTGCAACCAACATCAGGAAACACAATAGGTGTTGACTGTTAAATGGAAACCAATTCACTGGGTAAACCTCTGAAGCTCACCTCTGAAACACAATGCAGTGTCTTAAAAAGGAAAGAATGAGAAAATAAACTAGTCTAAGACACTGACCAATGTGCATAAAGGCTAGCAATTACATGCTATTTACGTCTTCCATCATATTACCACCGGCGACAAGGAAACAAACATAAGAAAAATAAGTAGAAGATCTGACTTTTTGAATACTTTCAAAAATATTAAAACACTCATACTTACTATTGGAAAGCTTAGGGTATTTGGAAGGCTCTACTTAGATACTATTGTTAAAACACTGTATAACACATATACATAGTATATAATCGTATATGCACATAAAATATAATCATGTATGTTCCCATAAACATTTCTCTGTACTGTACAGAGAAATAAAACATGCATGCCTTCTTTGATTGTCTAACTTGTATCTCTACTTTTGTGCCCATAAAAGTTCTTGTTGTACTCTCACAAAATAAAAAGCAGCAATTTACTTAGATGTAGGAGGGTTCGTGAGTACACAAGCAGCTATTTACTTCAATATTAAAATCACTAACAAAATACATTTAAAACTATTTACATTTTATATGTGTTTAAGTAACAAACATTATTTCCTGACAATATCTTCTCTTCAGTCTCTGGCTCACAGTAGGGCCTGTGTTTATAACTAGCACTGCAGCCATGTAATACAGTTACTTTACCCCAAAGAGGGGCTGCAATCCACAAGGTCAGCAGTTCAAAACCACCAGCAGCTCCTTAGGGAAGGACTGGGCTTTCTACTCCAGTAAGCAGTTGCAGTCTTGGAAACCCACAAGGGGTCACTATGAGTCAGCATTGACTCAATAGCAGTGAGCTTGTTTTTTGGGTTTTTCTCCCTTGTTATACTAATGTTAAAAAATGATTTATGAAACCTTTTGTAGAGAATCCCACTAAGGCAGAGGTGGAAGCCACATTAGAAAGGAAACAAACAGGACAAGTGTGTTAAGAGCACTTTTAAGTCTCCCCAAACCTCAGAACTAAAGAGTAGACAGACACAGGCTTGCAGAGGTAGAGACAGACTTGTCACCAGCAGCCACCAGGGTGCCACGTAAGCCAGGGAAAGTCACCTCCGCTCTCTAAGTGTGCTTTGTCCTTGGAGGCCTTTGAAAGCCCTTGAAGTTTTAATAGCCTCTGACTGTAATGCACATTTATGTAATAAATGTAATCAGTACACATCCCCCTCATATGCACCTGATTACACCTGTACTGCCAATTGATCCATGGTAGCTTAATTTTAGACTTTTTAGAGTTCTTGAATAGGGACAGAAAGCATCAAATCCTGACCAAGAAAAATGATAGGAAAATTATGATACGAGGCGTTTAGTGATATGAATTGGAAACAATGGGAGCATTCCATAATGTACTTTATTAATTATGAAGGGCTTCATCAAGTTCACGGAAAGATTCCATTATCTTTTCATTTCATTTTTTCCCATGCACTGGTTAAAGCCTCCTCGGACATGTAATAATGGTCTACCAGTGGAATACCACTTGCCTCTTTTCTATAAGTATTGGCTAGATTTTCTCGGCTTCAGCTGACTTCAGTTGCTACGATGGATTTACATGGTTTACACTAAGCTGTCTTTATAGAGAGAGTGGTCTAACAAGGAAGGGTAGGTAGACTGGCAAATTGGTAAACTTTGAGCCTAATTTGGACCAACCCAAGAGAAAGTATACCATCCCCACTCCCTAATTAGTAGTTCATCAGCTTAACTTCTTAAACTACCAGGTCAAGTCCTGGTTAGTCTATTGGTTTTCAAATAGGTGACTGTAAGCCTAAATAGCTGAATAGTAAAACTAACATATCAAACCTTCAGCAGATGACCAAAACAAAAAACGAAAAAAAAAAAAACAAAAAACAGCCACGAGGCAAGGCATACTAGCAGACTCAGTCATTCAGAAATTCTAACGGAATCTTTGCACACCTTTCAAATGGGAAATGTACGTTACTGAGCCCATTAAACACATGCTCATGTTTCAAAGCAGGCTCTATCCAAGACTGCGCTGGCCAACATCCGGTTTCCCAAAGTCCCGCGTACAGAGGGTCTCCCGCGCTCCCCGAGGGGCACCCGGTGCCCGGCTGCCCAGGGAAGGGCGGGTCAGCGTCGTGACCCCGGCCGCTCAGGGGCCGTGGGCACAGAGGGGTGCGCGCTGGGCGGCCGGTCCCTCCAGCGCCTGGCTCCGGCTCTCGGGCGGTCCGGGCGTGGAGCTCAGGGGGCGACGCCCGTGCGCCCCGGGCGCCTGCCTCCCGCGGGAGCCGGCCGAGGAGGCG